TACACGTCCACATTACAAAAACAAAGAACACCACCACCATTTACATAAACTCCAACACATTGACACATAGAATGCCTCTCTCTCTTAACCCAAATCTACCTAATGATCAATCAGACTCTCGTTTTTTCCTCTCTGCAACCCTAAATTTCATCGCAGCTTTCTTTCCCTTTTCAGGTGGAAAACAGCTAAAGGACGAAACTTTTTTGGTTTTGTTTGGTTGAGTTGCAGATAATTGTTTTTTTGTTTTTTTTTTTTTTCGGGAAAACCAAAACGATGTTTTCAGTGAAGACGGTGAGGACGATCTAAGCTTGACCGATCGTGATTTTGAGCTTCGATCTGTGAGATTTTTTCCTTATTCTTTATGGTCTCATGGTGGTTGATGAATATTCTTAGTGTTCAACTTTGTTGATGATCGGTTTATGTTTTTTCTTTTGAATCGTTTGTTATGATTTTGTGGTTTTTTGGATGATCGGATTATAGATTGTTTGGTTGCTGTGAAATCAATATCAATTCTGATTTGAAAAACGGAATTTTTGTGTAAATTATTGAAATTTCATTCCTTTTTGAGTCTCTGTGGGCATATTTCTTTTGTTTTGGTGATAATGATGTTGTTGGAAGAGGGTTGTTGTTTATTTCATGAATTTAATTGATGTAGGACGTAGACATACAAATTCTTTTAGCTACATTCTATTTGGTATTGGTTGTTTGGCTGCAAAAGTTGAATTCCTTTTGAAGTATAATCCCTGAAATGGTACCATCCAACTGTTGATAGCTGTAACCTTTTAAGTATGTATGTGATCTTGTCTTCATGTTATATGTATCTGACTTTTTATGGAATGGAAGCTCTGTAGATACTAGATACTGGCTTGAAAAATTGATTCAGTTGTGGTGTCATTGTTGTTTTTCATGGAAATTCTGAATGACAAGGTAAAATAGGTTATATAATCTGGATTGTTAGGGGAACATGTATGTTAAAAATCCGTTATTTCCGTTACCGTTACTTACAGGTTTGCCGTGTATGGTAATTGTGTGATCCGGTAGTTATGATAGGAATTTGTTGGCTTCCATATTTGTAAAAAGTTTGCTTTTTGGTTTCAGCTGATCCGAAAGCACAGTGGGGGAACTGAGTTGGAGGTGATTTGCATGGGGTGAGGATGCCAGAGTTGCCAAGTGGAACCCGGAGATCAAAGCGCCTCAATAACATTCAACAGCTGCCTCAACCAGTCGATCAAGCAGAGAATTGGGTACTGCCGGCTCAAACCAGAACCAGGAGGAGAGTTGGAGGTGGACGAGGAAGGGATAATGCTGCAGCTGTAGCCAAAGGACCCTCACCAGCAATACCCACTAGGCCAGCAGCTGCTGGTAGAGGCCGGGGTGTTAGGTTGATAGATTTAGATCCAGAACCTGAAGCTGCTCCTTTG